CTTTCTTCTGCCTTGTTTTCTTAACTTTAACCGGCTTTTTAATTGACTCCTCGTATATTTCTACTAAATCAGGATAATATTTACGCATTAAGTCTTGTCTTTCAATTGAGGTCCATACTTTTGTTGGTTCTTCATCATCTGTAAAATAATTTAAACACAATGCTTATTTGCTTTACCGTGGGTGTCTAAGTCCGAAATCTGCGTCTATAACATATAACATGTTTCATACAGAGATTTTGGTGTCAGAAACCCACGGTTATTGTATCTTCGCATTTATATGGCATTTAGACTTTACTAACCCTCAAATTGATCATCAGGAATAAGTCCTTCAAACTCTCCATTTATATCATCCCATACTACTTCATAACTTGGTACTCCTATAACAAAAACAATATTGTAAACAAGTAAAAATTATTTGTTACTGTCATGCAATATTTTCTTAAACAATACATATAGAAAATACAAGAAAAAATTATCAATTAATATAATAATATCTATTTATCCTTCATAGCTGTCGACCGCGACTCCGTCCACGGTGTAAAAAAACTTTATTAGCAGCCTATGTGTTCTTCCAGACTATATTCTATATCTATCCCAAATTACATCCAAATCCTTGCAGCCACTTTGGATTATTTGTTTGTATGAATGGCTCATGCATAATATTACTAAGAAATTAAAAAAAAATCTAAGTTGTAATATTTAGAATCTGACTACCTTTAGGATTTCTCTTTTTCTTAATCTCTTTCGGTTTAATTTTTCTACAAATAACTGTATCTTGAAGATGCCATTTCGTAAGTATTGGCAAGAATTTCTCCACGCAGTACCTTTCAGTCCAGTCCAATTTACTACACATTAATTTCTGTAAATAAAGGAAATATTTTCCTTTTATAGAGCACACAAAAACTTAGCATTTAAGACTTATACCATTTTTCCTTTAGATCATGACATTTAGGTACTGTAACTACGCAACTGTTGAAGCTAGGCTAGAACTTGAATTGAATAGGCAAAAAAAAAAAAAAATCGAGTGGGAACTTCTAAATAACAGTAAAATAAATGAATAAATTATGAATTAACAGACCACAAATTGTATCAAACTAGGCACAGGAGTTGTTAAGTCGTTTTGATTGTTATGATTGTTGGTTGCATTTAAAAACTCCTTCATAACTTTCGGTTCTGGAAATGGCATACCACATGAAAGGGCTCTGGTACGTAAAGATAATTCTCGCTTCACCTCTGCAACCTTTGCTCTGAAATATATAACATGGTGTTCATTAAATGAGATATTTTTTAATTTGCTAAAGTTTAAATAAGTTAAAGAGATACTACCATCATCAAAGTATTAGGCGTTGATTTAATACGATAAATCTGTACTAAGCGACTGTTTAAGGAACCACAAAATGAGGCAAAAACACCAAAATTTTAAATATTCGAATTAAAAATATAAGTAAACCATACTTGTGTCCCTTATCATCACATCCGCGGCCAGTAGCGCATACAGGGCAGCCCTTTTTTGCGTGCAATCGACCCGCATGCCCGCAGCGGTCACAACGACCCGGCAGCGATGCCCAACGACAACGCTCCTCGTACTCTTTGGTGTCACTCACCCATGATATCAGCCTAAAACATAACATAATTAAAAATTAAAATAAAATAACCAATGGTGGAGCAACCAAAATTAGGCCTAAATCCCTGGAAATAAGAGTCATCCAACCATCATGGGGATCTTCATCTTAAGTTCACATTGAGATGCTGCAAAACTGAGGAAACTAATATATTTGAGATTCTATATATCCCCAATATGTTTGCAATTGAAACATACTTATAAGATAATATACATTTTATACCTATGTATAATTTTATCATCAGGTACTGTATGTAAAAAAGATACAACAGTGTTTATAGATGAGCCACAAGCACCAACGCCATAATCACAACCGCATAGTAGTGCTAGAGCTATCATTTTATTGCGACCAAACCCTGAAACAAAGTTATTAAATTAGATTATATGACAATACAAATACAGAACTATATGATATTTTAAAGTAAACTAAGTAAAATAAATAAACTCATTGACTAAGAATTCAATATTAGTTTTAAGTTTTTTATATGCCGAATCTGAGTTTAATATTCATAAAATAAAGTCTTGCTATTGATTTGATTTAAGTGGCCATACCATTGCTTTTGAACATAATATCAGCATCATAGCAGTCAACAGAACCCTGCATAGCACCACCTCCAGCTGAGTTAGATACACTAAAGTTTCTATACACACGACAAGCACCATAAGCAAAGCAATCTGAATCTTGTGACACCACTGCATGTACAACCTGTCAATAACATTTTTTTATTAATGTAAACTCATCACTTAAATATGATATTGGAAAATATCAAGATTGTAAATCTTACTATCACACTTAAGAAAAACAAAAAAATAATCAAATACAAACACCTTGAGCATTCAATTGTGCGCAAGTAGCTTCTGCTTCACCACTCCCTTTTATGCATGTTACTCCCATACTTTTCAAAAGAGACTCACACTGAAACATATTCAAAAAATTTTATACAAAATTACAATGAGTTTCTGCAATTGTGTCATCTTTGTACTGAAAATTTGCCACTCCACCTCTTTTAGGACACCTCTAAACCTTCGTCTAGCTACATCAGGCTTGTCGGATGTTTTACTAGATTGAGACGGAGCTCCTCGGAACTGTACAGCATTTCGAGCAGCCATTACATCTCTTTTAAGTTCAGGAGCATCTCCTTCTAGTACAAATATTGGTTTAATATCAGCTAAAAGGAGATACACGGTTCTAAAAAATAAATTTCTGAAAAATTGAGAATAATCATTAGATAAAATGTATATTACTTAACAAAATTGTATAAAACATTTAGCTAATACCTTAGGTAGAGCTTTGGTTGTATATAGTAATCAGTGACATTTTGACTGTCGCATATCCATCCTGATAAATCGACTGCAACAGTTTCACCCTGGATCTGGTGAAAATAGGATAGTAATTGGTTTTAGAAACAAAAAGCGCATAAATAGTGCTTATTACTATAAAAACAGGATAAAAATTCATAACAATAATGTAATATCGATCTTACTTCGTGCAAGGATTTTTTCTCGCAATATGGGGCAAAAACTGTCCACAAGCCTTTAATACCCATTTCTTACTTTTTACGATACCATGTTAGCGAAATAACAAAACAATAGATTTTTTATAATTGAATAGGATTTGAATTAAAGATTTTTTTAACCGTGACAATATGTAACATGAACAAGGTTTTTTAACCATTCAGCCAGATCAAATATCAGTAAAACTTGATTTTAGTTGGGATCGCTCAAAAGGAAACAAGCATTTTTTAGATGAAAATACCAATCAAGCCCCTAACAAGTTAAATATCAAAGTCCAACGCAGAGCTTTAATGGGTAGAACGAGAAATTAAAAAAATTACAGGTGAAAGAAATAGCAAGTAGATTTCTGTGCGTGTATTTAAAAATAATATGTTTTTTTTCTGTAGTAAAGCTTTGTTGACAGTTGACGTTTGATTTTGACAGGACCGCAACAAAAAAGTAAACATAATAATCTTACGGGTAAGATAAATAATTCAGTTCAAATAACATTGAATTAAAACAGGTTTGTTTTGTTCAACTACTTGAGTGTTTGACTTGATTGGACTTGATAGTCTTATTATGTATTTAAATTATTCATACAAGCTGTCATTCGAGAATTCGTTAATGATAAGGAAGCGCGATAACTTATGACGACATGCTTCTTACTCTAAATTAATTGGACAAAGATATGAGTATTCATTATTACGCTTATAACTTTTATCACAATTTTATTTAATCAGTTGCCATTGGCGTTTTAAAGATAAACTCGTGCGTACATTTGGTGTGTGAAAATATAATAATACATTTTATGTTTGGTGTACTATCGAGTGAATAAATAATTTGCCTAATAATCATGTACAAATTAAGACATATATATAAAATTCGGTGAGCTTAATATGTAATTGTAATTGTTGAAATACACGCGGGAAAAATGAAAGTTTTGTTTGGTATTTTATATATTATAGTTTAAATGTTTTTCTTACAGTAATTCAGTAACTGTTCAACATGGGTTGAGATATAATCATGCTGGGGTCAAAACTGACCTTCAGCTAAGGAATATAGATAAAGTGTTGATAGCCAACCGAGGCGAAATAGCATGTAGGGTGATGAGAACAGCCAAAAAGCTGGGGATAAGAACTGTGGCTGTGTACTCTGATGCTGATAAACATGCAATGCATGTTGAAATGGTATAAATTAATACCTATTAAACTCTTTTAAAAGTATACATAATTCACAGTGTGCTTTAAAATTGATATTTATTGTATCAACTGATCAACTTAAAATTTGTTTAATTGATAGCAGATTATTTTTGCTTTTAACTTTCTTACACTGTTATCAAGTAATATGTCTGTACTAAAATGTAAAATAATTGCTTATATTTAACCTTTAAAACATTTCAGGCAGATGAAGCTTATCACATTGGTCCAGCACCATCTGCACAAAGTTATCTTAATGCAAATAAGATATTGGAAGTAGCCAAGAAGTCAAATAGCCAGGCCATACATCCTGGATATGGATTTCTTTCTGAAAATGTAGAGTTTTGTGAGAAATGTGCTGATGAAGGTGTTATATTCATTGGACCACCTCCATCCGCTATAAGAGATATGGGAATAAAGAGGTAAGATTTAAAAACTCTTTTTATTAGTAAAAATTCTTAATATTCTTTATCAATTTCTTTATTTTATTGTCCTATCAAAAACATATACAGTCAAATTTAGACAAGTAAAAGTCCAAGATCCACAATATTTGTCTAACTTATCAAAGTTTTCCCCTAACCCGAGGTACTCGCTTATAGAGGTAATCCCACGGAATTGGAATTTCACTTATCCAGTCTCGCTATTTATGCCCAAACAATAATCAAATACTGTCAACTCTCCTAAAAAAAAGAATTGTCCTCCAAGAAAAATGATCCTAATAATATAACCTATAATTTTCAGTACTTCAAAAACAATAATGTCAAGTGCAGGAGTGCCAATAGTGAAGGGCTACCATGGAGAAGATCAAAGTGTTGAGAGGCTGTTAGCGGAAGCTAACAAGATTGGATTTCCTTTAATGATCAAAGCTGTTCGCGGTGGAGGAGGAAAGGTAATGAATTAATACTTAGATCCAGCCGAGTAGGATACGTATTAAATCTTAGAATGTATTATATTAAACTATCTATGAATGATTTAAGTTCTTTTTTTTAAAGGTTCTTAATTTGTCAGCAATCTCGTAAATTTACAGAGAACCATACTACTTACTCCACACTTGTAATCTTTTACCACAAAATGGAATCTAACTAGTATTTTAATAGTAGTATGTTAATCTGTCTCCTGCAACTCCATCCATGCGAAGATAAAAAAAACTTAATATGTCTATGTGCTCTTCCAGACTATCTTGTACACCTGTGCCAAATTACATTAAAGTCCATCCATTCTGGTGATATTACTAACAAACATCCGTACATCCATACATTTAAACATTCGCATTTATAATATTACTAAGATTATCCATGTATTAAATTTAAAAGGTTTGTTGTATTTTTACTCTTTCAGGGTATGAGAATAGCAATGACCGAAGATGAATTTCTATCACAATTAGAGTCAGCTAAGAGAGAGTCATTGAAGTCCTTTGGTGATGAAAGTATGCTGTTAGAACAATATATTACAGATCCCAGACATGTTGAAGTTCAGGTAATAAATAACACTCAAGTAGTTGAATAAAATAAAAAGAAAATTACGTATTATTGTCCATTAAGAAAAACGATTTGTTTTTTATTATTCAATTTCAAGGATTAGTTAGCATGTTATTTGAATATTTTAAATATGTATTTGTAATATGTTTTGTATAATAATTTAGAAAATTAAAGATTTTTCAATATTCACAGGTGTTTGCAGATATGTACGGTAATGCGGTACATTTATTTGAAAGAGATTGTTCTGTTCAAAGACGTCATCAAAAAATTATTGAAGAGGCACCCGCAGTATGTTATTCTCATATTTTATTCAAATATAAGGTTTAAAATAAAATTCAAATGCCAATCAATATGTAGGTAGACGAAATTAGTTTTTTTTTGTTACGAATTTTGCTTTGTTTAAATTTAAAAGCATCTGACAATTTTGAGATAGTTAATTCTATGTATATTATTAGTTTGACCATTAGCGCCAAAATGGCAAATATGAAATCGGCACAAAAAAACAACGCTTATAGCCAGTCCATGTACAGATATAATATGAGACATATTATAGCCAGGGCTATCGGAGGAGACACGTCAGGCGCTAGGCTCGGCTGCGGTGCGAGCGGCTAAAGCGGTTGGCTACGTGGGTGCGGGCACTGTGGAGTTTATATTACACCGTGCTACTCACGATTTCCATTTCATGGAGATGAACACCCGACTGCAAGTTGAACATCCCATCACTGAAATGATTACCGGTAAGTATACTGACATCGTCAGTTCTCATACAAACAAATTGTCTCGAGTCTTTTATTTAATAATTCATACTTTTTACATTTAAATCTTACATTCGATTGTAATATTTTGGAATATTTCATATTTTTACTCGGGGATCGCGCAGGATTTGAAAAAAAAACTTAATAAGTAGCCTATGTGTTCTTACAAACTGTTGAACATCTGTGCCAAATTTCAGTGAGATCCATTCAGTTGTTCTGGAGATACCTTCTAACAATCATCCATCCATCCATCCAAACGAAGTGATACTAAATATAAATTAAATCCCACCTCCAGTCATCAAAAGCTAACAGGCGTAAAACTTCAAGATTTTTTTTCCAGGCACCGATCTAGTGGAATGGCAGTTACGTATAGCTGCAGGCGAGCCGTTACCAGTGAAGCAAGAGGATATAGTGCGTCGCGGCTGGGCCGTCGAGTGCAGGATATACGCGGAGGAGCCCGCCGCCGGCTTCCTGCCCAGGGCCGGCACACTGCACAGGCTCACGCAGCCCACACCCGAAGAGTTCGTGCGGGTACGAAATACACTCCTGACATTTTAAATATACAGTTGAGGAAATTAATTTTCATATTTATCACTATAATAATATAAATATAACAGTAAATAAATGTTCCAGTTTGCTGTAAGATATTCGATCGTCGGTTTGAAGATATTTTAGTTCTATTTTCTCTCTTAATAAGTAAGTGTCTTTTTAATAGCACTGTTATCTTATTAGGTGGAGACAGGAGTGCGCGAGGGGCAAGAGGTATCAGTTCATTACGACCCGATGATAGCAAAGCTTGTTGTTTGGGGTAAGGACCGAAACCAGGCTCTGGCAAAAACCAGGAGGAAACTGTCAGAGTATAAGGTAAGTTCTTTTAAAGTATATTTTTTTTTATTTTTCAACCTTAATTTTTACTAAATAACTAATAAAGTAAACTTTATTCCACCAGGTGGCAGGTTTGGAGACGAATGTAAACTTCCTACTTCGGCTGGCTGGCGCGTCCGCGTTCGTGTCTGGCGACGTGCATACCGCATTCATACCTCAGCACGAACGCGAGCTGTTCGCGAACACCGGCGAACACGCCGTGCTGTCCGAACATCGAGCTATACAAGCTGCGCTCGGATATGTAAGGACATACACATATAGATTTTTTTATATAGAATAAGGAGTCAAATGAAAACATCGGATCGCCTAAAATTATTTGATCCGATTCGCTCATGGACAACGTTAGAGCGATCGCAGCTATATTTATTACTTTTAGGGTTCCATACCTCAAAAGGAAAAAAACGGAACCCTTATAGGATCACTTTGCTGTCCGTCCATATGTCTGTCAAGACCCTTTTTTTAACGCATGCTACTCTCAAGTAAGGTCCTGAAGCAGTGGTACTTCGTTAATATGTGATATCTTTCAGATAATTCAATCTCAGTTGTCATCCACTGCCAATGACACGTGGAAAGGTATATCTGTGTCATCCAATGCTTGGAGGCCGAACTATCAGCTGCGGAAGACTGTTCATTTCAAATTTAATGACAAAGGTAAAGTTAACTTTTCATTATGTTTGGTTTTTATAATTATAACCATGTGCTTTTAATGTTTTAACATCTGTATAAAAATATACTGTTGTCTCTGACTTTTTTTTTGAAAATGAGAGGGATGGCATTATGGTTTTATGGAAGCGGAAACT